ATATTTAATACAGCTGGCAAAATTGTTAAAATATGTATTATGTGCTTCTGTTTTTTTTAATTCAGGAGATTATAAAAAAATCTTTCATTTTATGGGAAGACCCTCTTGATTCAAGAGAAAACTCCGGTTTTTAAGAAAATGGCTGCTTATCAATTAATTGTTAATCAATCTTTAAGATAAATCATCTTCAGATTAATTCAGTAATCAATAACTTGCGTCCTTAAGGAGTTAACTTAATTTATATCCACTTATATTCATGTAATTAAGCATTTTAATGATATGGCAGATTAATAGATTAATCGAAAAATAATTGTTAGTTGCAGCCCTAATCGTGATATTGATTTTAGGCCGTATCGCCCAGGCTTACTTTGGAGCCGTGGTCCTCAGCTGGAAAAGGGTGGATTTCRCTCAACATGTTGGGGTGAGGTTCTGCCTCAAATAGAGTAGAATTATTTCAAAGTTTTGTTCACGAGGAGAGAAGAATGGAGCAGGAGATCGATGGAAAGATCAGTACAGAGTCTGCAGGATTGTGGACTCTACTGATGTGCTGTGGTGYAGAAAGCGCTGAGCTGTACGTTCCTTCCCGGACATAAGGCCGTAAACTTTGGGCAGTGACCAAAAGAATGAGACGGCAGACACAGGCTGTCTTTCCTTTAAAGGTTCAGTTATCCAGGAGAGACTCAGAGMACAGCTGCTGCTCCTCCACATCCGTCTCTGGAACGGGCAGATGATGGACGGACAGCTGAATATCAGCGCTTCAAGCATTAAACTGAGTCAGAGAGGAGCAGCAACCTTCTCAGTCCTACATGAGCCAGTCACCTTTGAGTGGATTAGGCTAAGCCAGCAGCCACGCTTGACAAATATTAACAAGCTTTATTTGAAGCCAAAGAGGGTTTTAACGCCAGTTGGGAGCAGACGAGAGATTAACAGGTTGTTCTGCAGACATCTCAACAAAGTGTTTACATGTCCGTGCAGAAAAGAAAAAAAAAGAAAGGAAAAGGAAACGTTCCACCAAAGAGGGGTTTGGTGACCATCAAGTGAATTTAAACCACCTGTAGGATTTGTTCATGACGTTTAACACGTTTTGTCTGAATTTGATTTGTTCAATGATTTGTTGCACATCCTTGGTCCATAAAAGCTTCAGCTTGTAGTAGGTACTGTTTAGCATTTTCTCTTTCTTTATCTCCAACAAAAGCACCTGCCCCTCATGAAGATCATGTTGTGATGAATTCTTTAACTGTCTGTAAGACAGGAGCAGATGGGTGTGCCATACCTGAGACGTCACTGCTCCTTCTTCCCGTACCAAACCCAGGCTTCTTCAGGACTTTTCTATCTATAACTTAACTCTGTAATAAATTAGGGTATACTGTATATTTGATTTGGACCAAACACCTGCTAGCAGAGAGCTGGAACTAAACACATGAATTTTGGGTTTAAGCTCATTACATGAACAGGCAAACCAAAGAAATATGCCTTTCAGCTACTAGCTACAGCTAACCATGTGTCCCTCCTCAAAGTATGAAGATATAAAAACTGATTKCTGGGAAGTCTGTTTCAACATGTTTCAAAGAAGCACGTCTGATTTGATTATTAGCAGCTGCCTTCCTGATTGGCAGGTTTGACGACATGCATTTCTGTAATCTTTGAACTAATAAAATCCTCAGGTGTTTTTACTGAAGGCGTGTAACAATTTTAAAAATGCGCTCACCTACATTCATCCAAACGCCATTAAAATCAAATGCTGATTTAAAATAAAATAAGACGTCTCACCTCTCCACCGTGTTGTGATGCACGGAGCCCTGGGAGCCCCCGACGGCGTAGATGCAGCCGTCCACCACGCCCACCCCAACCCGGTTCCTGGGGATGTTGAGGGAGGCTCTCTGACTCCACTGGTTGGAGATGGGGTTGTAGCAGCACAGAGAGCTGGAGTCTGTGTTACTCTGAAGAGACAGATTCCTTCCTCCCACCTCCATTTAAACCACAGAAAGAAACATAAATATTTCTCCGACCATTTCAACTTCGAAAAAACAGATGACGCAGAACGAGACGTAAACACTTCTTGTTGAGGCCTTTCTGAAATGTAAGGCCCGGCCCGAGTTAGTCTGACCTTATTCTACTCCGCCCTGGTTGTGTTTGCTTTGAGCAGAGTGCTGCCATGATGTGGGCGGGGCTCATACTATTAAAAAACACGCTTGCCACAGTTGTTTTTTAGTTGAACTTATGTGAAAAAACATTAAAGGGATCCCTGGTTAGTTGTAACATTAGACTTTATTTGATAAACATTTATTTTAACTGTAAAATAAAGACTAAAAATAC